ATGATTCTCATTTCATCATAAGGGGGAGTATATGTAATATGAATGAAATATTCATTTCCGAACATTGTTAAAGGGGATTTGATGCAAAGATCAAGGGGGAGTAACTTCGAATTTGGCAAAAGACTCAAAAGAAGAAGTGCGACTGAAGATCATTAAAGGATGAGAGATATTGAATGTGAAGATCATTTTCACAATAGTTTTACTGAAGAAGTGTTTTCTGAAGATCCTTTGAAGATCACATCTTGTATAGTATTTCTAAAGATCGTTTTTGATTTACATTGTCAAAAGAGAAGATCACTGTGATTCTACATTCGAGGGGGAGTGATAGAAGATCTTTCTCAACATTTGATCGTTTGAAGATTACAGCCTGAAGATTTCATTTTTGAAGAAGACTTTTTGTGCATAAAGTTTCAATGTTCAAACAAGTTCTCAAAGCGCAGATTTTTCTTTCAAGTCTAAATACAAAGGGGGAGAATGTTATGACTGAGAAATCAGTATTAATTGTATTCGTCTTGAAAGATAAATTTTAGTCTATAATTGTAAAGTCAGCGTGTTTGACTTTCKTAGACTAGTTTGACTTTGACTTTGTATTAACATGTTGACCATATAAATAGGTTGGTAATCTTTGTAATTAGTGGTAAGTGAGCTAATTGTAATATTCAGATTGATAATAGAGAGTTGACTGAGATTTACATGTTTGACTTTCTCTCTCAATGTTCATAGTGTTCTTAATGATAAATCTATGAATCTGCCATTGATGTGAGCTTAATATGAAGATTGATCAGTGATTGTGGACACACACTGTATTTTGCAAAATGTTCCTACCAAGCATGGTGACGTAAGTCTGTTTTGGTATGAAACTGTATTTTGGGAAATGTTCCTACCAATCGTGGTAACATAAGTCTGTTTTGGTATGTAATTGTATTTTGGGAATGTTTCTACTAAGCATGGTGACGTAAGTATGTTTTGGTATGAGACTTGTTTTAAGAGGTAGTTCCCTAAGGCGTGATGACATTTGTCTATTTTGGCTTGGAACTGGGTGATGGGTACTTCCAAACGTGGTGACTTATTTATGTTCTAGCAAGTAACCTTGCTTTAAAGAAGGAATAAGGGTGGCATATCAAGGAGAGATGTACCATGGAATACGGGAGACATTGTCATATGTGGTTATTATTATAGCTCTTATTATTATCACTAATTAGATGCAATAACTCTAAATCATCATTTCTTTGTGACTTGATGAATTAGAGATATTGTTCTTTTTAGAAATAATAATTTAGATGTTATTGAGAAATGGGAAATGGTTTATCATCAGAGGCATTTATTGTCTAACTTTCTATCAATGTTTTAATACATATAGAGGGACTCTGGTTGGTCTTATACAAAGACCAAAGGACCTCTAGTTGTGTAAAAAGGGTTTTAAATATTTTGGGGAATTTATAACCAAAGACTCTATATGTTTAATACAGACGTCATGTATCCTAGTTCTGTGTTTTATTCTTTAAGATTATCTTTTCTTCAAAAATATTTATAAATAAAGTTTAAGAGTTAGAGGAGCTCTGATTCTAGTACGGTCATCTTTTTAAATTATGTTATGCTCTTTTGGACCAAAGGTTTTATTTGGTCCAGATGACCTCTAGTTGGTTATTGTTCGCTTAGATACAGAGGCTCTGGTTGGTAAGGCAGAGGAGGCTTTGGTTTGTAGATCCAGAGGGGTTCTGGTCTGTTGAGCCAGAGGGGCTCTGGTCTGTTGAGCCAGAGGGGCTTTAACCCGTAAGTTAAGAGTTTTATTTTGAGCTCTGGGTTTTTAGAGAGGTGCATTGAATCATGGGTTGAAGTAAACTGTTGATCTCATTTTTGATCATATTGTTGAATTACATTATTTTGTTGAAATACAAATATTTCTATGTAAAAGTTATTTTATCAGATTTTGGTGTTCATCACTCTGTATGTGCAAAGAAGAGATTTACTCACTAGACCCTTTCGGTCTAACCCGCATTTTGTGTTTCAAAAATGTGCAATGAAGGAACTACGAAGTCAAGGGATTAAGGGGAATGGGAAAATGTAATTATTTTCCTTATATGATATCTGCTTTTGAAGATCAACATGATGATTGCTTATTTTGAAGATACATGTTGTTGTACATGTGTTAGTGCAGGGATTTTATTTTGAAATTTTTCATATGTAGATTTTGTACATATAAGAATTCTTGTACTAGTGGGACCAATGTGGTGTAAATTGTATTTAGTTGAAATGAAATATGTGTTATATGCAAATGTGGTGTTTGGGGGTGTCACATCAGACATCAGCACCACCTCTTAAAAATCAGAAATGAAATAAGACTTCAAACTTCAGCACATTTTAAAAAACAAATGCCACCTTAGTGTTGTGGCCCCTCTTTTTCTGTTTTTTGTTCGACTTATGTTTCAGTTTTACTTTAATCTTTGTCTTGCACATCAGAGCTTTCATTTAAATTAATGGCTTAAAAAAGGACAATTAAAAAAAATTCCTTCCATATTTTTTTCCTTTTCTATCCAAAATCGAAAACACAATATTTAAAGAGATTTATAGCTTACAACTATTATTGTTTAAATCTTGTAGGAAATGCTAATTATAATTACGTCAACTTGGAAAAATATTGTTAAATTTATAAAAATGATAAAATAAAATTAAATGTATACAACAAGTAACGTATATTAAGTCAATTTTTTTAGAAAATGTATTTGTGTTCCTACATAATATCAATATGATTTATTTGTAGATCATTTTATACAAAATAACATATCTAAAATAATTTTTATCTAATAGATAATAATTTTTTATATTTTAATAATTCTTTAGATCATGTTCAGTATATATGTTAAAAAAAAGTTTTAAAGATTTATCAACTTTTTTAATACAACTATATTAAATGGTATGCTAACTTAGAAGAGACCATAAAAAAATATTGAAACTAAATGTATGTAAGAGATATATTAAAGAGTAAAATTCACTTTTGGTTCCCTAATGTTTGGCACTTTCAACGGATGTCATCCCTCCACTTCGTTTTCTTGGGTTTGGTCCTTATGTTTGTCATTTTATAACGGATTTGGCCTCCCTGTTTAACGGCCGTTAACTTTTTCCTTTAATACCAGCTTAATGAGGGGTATTTTGGTTATTTTTACATATTCTCTAATTTTCTTTCAAGAGTAAAGAAAAGATATATATATATATATACTAACTTATAAAACATATTTGAAAAAAGTCTTAGAAACAACTTATAATACACCGAGTACTGCTACTTTATGCATTTTATCTTAAAATCTCTCAATTACAAATATTGAAGCATAATGTACAACCCTTTGAAATGTGATTCTTGGTTAAAGATTCCAAGATTTTATGTTCCCAAAGGGTTTTAAAATGACACTTCCAAACTTGATTTCGAATCTCAAGGTGACTTTTGAGTTTTCCTATAGTCGTTTGGATCAAATACTGACTTGGTTGCTTTGGCCCTGTCTCCATGGTTGCGCTCTCACCCTCTTAGAGCTAAACAAGTTGGAACCAAAACACACAGTGGATCAAAATGTTTGTGATACTTTATTGAACTAAGAGATGCTCTTTAAATAAAGTTGTTACAAAACATAAAGCATAAAAAGCTGCTAAAGGAACTCTAACAAAAGGTTACGTGGATTGAACTTGTCAATCCTTTAAAAAACCACACTCTGCTTCTATAATCCAGGAGCTTATTTGCTACCAAGTCAATAAACCAACAAATCCTCCCTTAGACTGAATATGTAGAAGACACTTCAATTTGCAAATGACACCGAGCATCTCACGGAACTTTATAAATGTCTCAAGTTTCACCGGCTTCGTCATTATATCAGCAACTTGTTCCTTGGTGTCGTAATATTCAAGCTTAACTTCTCCATCCTTAACTAATTCCTGTAAGAAGTGAAATCTCACCTTAATATGCTTTGACCTACCATGAAACACTGGATTTCTTGACAGCTTAATTGTCGAATTGTTGTCCCAAAAGATGGTAATACACCTGCACTGAACTTGATTAAAGTTTTCCAAGACTCTTCTCATCCCAATGCTTTGGCAAGCACAAGCACAGGTTGCTATATATTCCGCCTGTGTCGTCAAAAGAGTAACGATAGACTGCTTTCTCGAACTCTAGGCTACTGTTGCACCACTCATCAGGAACACATATCCTGATGTACTTTTTGCACCATCAGTATCCCCTACAAAATCACTATCGGTATACGCTTTGAGATCACCATCTGAATGCTTCTTGTAGAACAAGCCTAGTTCCACGATGCATTTGATGTAGCGAAGTACTCGCTTTACTGCAAGCATATGAGCCTCTCTTGGGCGTGCCATCAACCTGCTCAAGAAGCAAACTACATACATAATATCGAGCCTTGTAGTGGTCAATACATCAGGCATCCAATTAGTTGCTTATATAATGTCGCATCAACTACTTCACCTCCTTTTTTGGACAACTTTGTTCCAGGGACTATGAGATTATTTATTGTATTGCAATTTTTCATGCCAAACCTTGTGATAACCTTCTGTGCATACTTTTTTGGCCAAGAAACACTCCATCATCAGTTTGTTGTATTTCTACCCCCAAGAAATATTTAATTTTGTCTAAATCTGTCATATCAAACTCTTTCTTCATGGAGGACTTAAGTTCATCACATAACTTTAAACAATTCCCAGTAATAAGTCATTTACATCGAGGCTTACCAATACGAGGCCTTCATTTTTATCATGCTTGATGAAAAGAGTGTGTTCCTGGCTGCACTTCGAGAATCCACTACTCAAGAAATATTTGCAATTATGTTGTACCAAGCCTGAGGGACTTGTTTGAGTTTGTACAATGCCTTCCTTAATCTTTAGACTTCATTTTCTTCCCTAACTTGAGAGTATCCTTCTGGTTGCTCTATGTAAACAGTCTCTTTTAGCTCTCCATGAAGGAAAGGGCTTTCTTTTATTAACTTGGATATCCAACCCGCTATGTGAGCCGACTAATCACAGGGCGACCATCTGCTTTGCAGATAGCCCGGAGTCACCTCATTTGAACCTCCATGGCCACAAGGGGATTTTTATTCCTCCTTGGATTTGAACCTGGGACCTTCAAGTGCTTTTTATGTCCATTTGAAATACCTCCCATCCTTTTCGTGCAGCCACTGCTAATAGAATTCGAATTGTATCCCATCTGGAAACCGGAGAAAGTACCTTGTCATAATCGATTCCATACCTTTGGGAGTAGCCTTTAACCATAAGTATGGCTTTATATTTATCCACCTCTCCTTTTTCGTTCATCCTTATCCAATAAACCCATTTTACTCCAATTTTTGTTTGCCCGGGTGGTAGATCTACTGACTCCCATGTTTTATTTTTTTGATGGCTTCTAGTTCAATATCCATGGCCTTCTTCCATTTGTCTTCTTTGGCAGCCTCCTCGTAACTTGCCAGATCATCTTGATACACAAACATTGTTAGGTTTAGCTCTTCCTCTTGTATGGATAATCCCTCACCATTAGAATAATCTTGTAGATGTTTGGGAGGCACTCTCCCTCTGTTTGTTCGTTCAGGTTGATGAACTCGTTTAGGTTGACTGGGAGATGAATTGACTCATATTAATAGCTTGGGTTATACTCTTCTTCCGATTCTTCTTCAAAAACTTCATCACCTTCCCAAATTAAAGTGTCGCAGATTTTGTCTTCAAACCTCCTTCCCTAGTCCCAACTATGATTTTCTTCAAAAATCACATCCCTGCTAGTGATGATTTTTCTTGTTTACGAATCTAACAACCTGTATGCTTTTGATTCTTCAATTAGTCCCAAGAAAACACATTTGCGTCTTTTATTATACAGCGTCACTTTTTCTTTATCTGGAATATGAGAATGGTTCATGCATCCAAAGACTCGGAAGAAATTGACATTTGGTTTGGAACCCGTCCAAGCTTCTTGTGGTGTCTTCTCCTTAACGGTAGTGGTAAGACTCATGTTCAGTATGTACATACACCACTGGGCTATTTCGGCCCAGAACACCTTCGGCATGTTTTTCTCGTTTAACAAACACCTAACCATGTTCATAAGTGTTCGATTTTTACGCTCGGCTATGCCATTCTGCTGAGGGGTAAAGGTTGTTGTGAGATGCCTCTTAATACCATGTGTTGCACAATATTTGTTGAATTCATTTGACGTAATTTGCCTCCTCTATCACTCCTTAAACAACGGATGCTCTTTCCTGTCTCCTTTTCCACCAAGCTTTTGAAGTTTTTTAAAAGCTCAAAGGTTTGACCTTTCTGTGTCAAGAAATAAACCCAAGTCTTTCTATTAAAATCATCGATAAAGCTCAAGATGTACCTTTTGTTCGTTGCAGTTGTTGGGGAGATTGGTCCACACAAATCTATATGAACCAGCTGTGTGATAACCAGATCCTGGTTATTACTCAAGGTAATTTATATGTGATTATTTTATTAAATAACTATGTGGTAGCATGATAATTTGATACATACTGGTATGCAAATTATGTGCATAATAAATATGCATATGTGTTTATGTATGTGCATGCATGGAGTATGTATGCATGTATGTGTTAGTGGTTATATGCATAGGTGTATATGTGGGATTTAGATGCATGCACGTGTCTTAGTGAAACCGACTTTCCATAAAAGGAAAGTATAAAAAGAGGCTTCACCTCTTCATTTGCTCTCTTTTGGCTATTTTGAGAAATTTGAGTGATTTTAAAGAAGAGTTGTCCGGATTACAAGAAGGTGACTTCAAGTGTTTGGAGAATCAAGTTGGTTTCAAGTTTTGGTTTTGAAAAGCTTTATAAGGTGAGTGGTTTCTAAACCTTTTTGTATAAAGATTCTACTGGTTTTATTTGTATGATTGGTATTGTWCATATTGGGAAGAAACCATGATTTTATTGTTTAAGTAATTATCCGGACAAAGAGTGACCGGATAAGCATTTAAACCGGACAAGCCTTAGGCGGTTTATTGACCGGATTGTTCTTAAACCGGATAAGCCTTGAGCGGCTTATTGATCGGACTAGTTTAAACCGGACAAGCCTTAAGCGGTTTGTTGTCCGGAGTTGGTAAACCGGTTGAGTGTTGAGCGGTTTATAAATGATAGTATTATTTATGATTTTAAATTGAGAAGTAGGAATACGACCATGTGGTGAGCGGTTTAGTCTTAAACCGGACGAGTCTTGAATGGACTGTTGTCCGGATTTGTTATCCGTTCAAAATGTGAATTTGTTCTAAGTGTAAACCGTTCAAAAAAAAATATGTGATGTGTTGACCGGATTAGATGTCCGGACAAAGTGGAATGTATTCCAAGTGTTTTAAACCGGACGGTTGTTGACCGGACTAGTTAACCGGACTTGTTAACCGGATGATTGTTGACACGGATTTGTTGACCGGACTTGTTGACCGGATTTGTGATGATATTTTGGGTTTTTAAAAGAAATTGTTATTTTATCTTAAAAATGAAGTTTTGATATAAATGTTTTCAGACTGATAAAAATCCAATGACTGCGGTCTATTCGGAATTATTTTATAAATA